AAACGGCGCAAAACGGCTTTCAAGGTTGTTGTATCGTCGACTTGAATAATACACAGAGAAGAATGAGTGTTTAATATATTTATTCAGCACCAGTATACGGTGCTAACAGATACGATACGCACAAAAAACACAGAACAATAAGTTACAAAACAATTAACAAGACAACTTACAAGGAATAAAGGAGGGTCAAATGCTGTATAGCGAAACTAAGTAACGTCAGTCCGAATATTAATCAGCTTAGTATCAACTTATCAACTGTTGAATTCCTTAATCGTAGACTATTTAAGGCTATGAACCAGGCCATTTAGTATAGTACTGAAGGGATGCTAGCTACTCTACAACAAGCATTAATTTGTAAAATCCTAGCTATCCCAAAATAGAGAAATGTTTCCATAATACCTGGCCATTTAAATATTCGCAATAATCTGCAAAAGCGTAGAAATTTTCTTAAACTCGGAAAATTGATTCCCAATTATTTTACAAAACAATAAAATTAGAGCGGCTCTCTTTGCATTCATATAAATGATTCTTCTTATTTTTGGACAGATTATTCACCGATAATGGACATTTAACCAAATAAAACCTAATTAAATGTTTGATGAGATTGATTTCGAAATGTGCATTTTGCACTGCTAAGTGTCTGTCAATAGCACTTATATTTTTTCACAATTTTCCACATTTGTTAGGTATATAATTTAAGATACGTATGTTCGTACTTTGAACCGTCTGAGGATCGCTTCATAGCTTGAAACCTTTAGTCACCGCCAAGTAGTGGCTTTTGGCTCTCTTTTGTTTGTATATATATATATATATATATATATATATATATATCTGTCAGGATTTATCAGTAATTGACTGCTTATACTTCTCGATTTTTTTTTTATATAAACTTATCATTGGTGCAAGTTTTTTTTTCTGTGTGTGTGTGCGCGCATTCGTGTATGTGTTCATGCGCCTTTCTGTGCGGATAGATAGATAGATAGATAGATAGATAGATAGATAGATAGATAGATAGATAGATAGATAGATAGATGTATCCAATTACTAAAAGACTCCGTTTAGTGGGTACACGTAGTCAAGGAACAGGGAAAACGACAGAGAATAGATTTGATTGGAGAAGGTCTGTTTTTTTATGGATGCAATCGTTTTGTGGTTAAGACAGTTGTGCATTTGAAGTCGAAAAAGGCTCCTAGGAAAGGTGATTCATAAGATATATATCTGTGGGCAGGTTGTTCAGTTCGTGCCGCATTTGCTAGCTATCTATGATCGCATGAAAATTGGCAGTCTTCTTTGTGAAGACCCTTGTTGACAGACTTGCTTAGTACTCATATCCGTTACGGGAAAAATGTCAGGACTTATGCCGAGCTGAAAGGGCTCAAGAGAGTGCCAGATTAGAATGTGACTTTCAAGACTCTCCAAAAGTCTTTCGGCTGTCACATATGTAAAAAGCCAGCGGGAGTGAGGTTGGTTTTCAAAATCATCTGCCAGACCATGGTCACTTACTCAACGTTGAAGACATGGTCTTCTTTTTGTAAAAGGTGCAGTTGTCATATATATATATATATATATATATATATATATATATATATATATATATATATATATATATATATATATATTTAAATATATATTTATATATATATATATATATATATATATATATATATATATATATATATATATATATATATATATATTTAAATGGAATAACTTTTATAATTTTATAGGTATCTAAAACAGTCACGAGTTTAATTTTGAACAAAACTGTATTGCAACATTACTGTATTCGTTCTTTTTCTTAATAAGTTTTCACTGAATTACTGAGTTTTCTTTCGGACCTCTTCCAGGTCCACAACAGTAAGGTATTGCAATTATTTACATTGTTCGGACACATGGACCAGTGTATAAATGTGCTGGTTGGATCTTGTGACTTGATTCAAAGAATTGTAAGCTCAATAGCTTGCTACGAAAGTGGTGGTGAAGAAAAACATGAAGAGTTGAGTTAAAGGGAGATAACTAGGGAATCTGGAAGAGTCATGGCTCGTGGAAGTAGAACAATCTACCCCGGTGGGCGAAATAAAGGGTTCCGTTCGAAATTCCAATCGCCTGAAAAGGTCGAAGCTTACAACGGCCGAAATGTCAAGAACATGGGAATAAAGATGAGGATAACAGTTCGACAATGTAAATAATGCAAATAATTCATATTTATAACAAAATGTCTTGCAATACATTTTTGTGTAGGTAAAGGCATACAACTGCATTCAAAATATTTAGATTCCAGCATTAAATAACCGATAGAGGTTGATATGCTGCTAAAAAAAATCAACCTACCAATTCAGGGCGCAGCTTATTGCAATCAAATGTTTTTTGCTTAAAATTAACCCTTAGCTACGAATTAATACCATGAGAATTTATAGCAGTAAACATATTTTATTCTCGGGTTGTAAATTACTATGGACGAGCGAAGCCGAGATGTGTCGCAGGTGAGTGACGAAGTGAG